CTGCATTCTTTGTGGTAAATGTCAATTAAGGTCCAACTTTATTTTCTGGGACATAGCAGCCATAGAAGGGCCTGCGGTGAGCGGGAGAGCCTGGGCCTCGTCCCTAGGGCATGGCCACCATCAGCTCTAGACATCTTGGCTGTGGTCAAACACCAGAGTTTCCTGAAATGTGTATATATATATATATATTTTTTTACTTTTTCAAATCTGGTTTTGAACAACGTTGAAACAAATGAAAACAATATCATTTACACTTCAGGGGAACAAAGCTGGTTTATGAGATGCCAATCCCACAACCCACCCTGCCACCCAGAGGTTCCAAATCTGCAAATGTTATTTACTGGTTTGCTCAGGCAGCCAAAACCAAGTGCTGTAGACTGGGAAAGAGGGGGTCAGAAAGAAGATATTTATTGTCTCACAACTCTGGAGGCCAAAAGTGCAAGATCAGTGAGTCTGATTGCTTCTGAGACCTCTCTCCTGGGCTTGCAGATGGCTTCCTTCTCCCGTGTCCTCACGTGGCCAAACTTGGGTGTGTGTGACCAACTCTCTTCTTATAAGGACATCTGCCATGTTGGATCAAGTCCACTGTAAGGACCCTATTTTACCTTTCTTAGCTATTTGGATACCTATTCTCCATATATATTCTCACCTCAGGCACTTGTGGTTAGGACTTCGACTTATGAATTTGGGAAGACCTGTTCCAGCCCTTAACATTTAACCTGTAATACTTCATATATATAAACAGCTCAGGGGACGTGGCATGCTCTTGAAAGCAATGACTTTTCTCTGCTTTGCCCTTTTTATTTCCTCTATTAACTGGAAAATAACAATTTGCCATAATGAGTCACTCACAGTCAAAGTACACCAAATCCATCACCACTGCTTCTATTTTTTGCAAATGATTAAATATCACTTTCTTTCCATTTATAGCATAATCTAAGTGACAGCCGATCCATCGGTTGATCTGCTGATGTTTAACTACAGCATTTTGCATTCATTATTCCTTCTTAGATCATTCTTTAAAAAAGAGGAATAACTTGATTCTGCCTCTTGACAGCAGGGAAATTAAATGGTGAGCCATAAAGAGGAGTGTTTCTCTGAAAAACAAAACACCAACTGCAGAGCTATCAAATCAAGCCAGAACTGTGTCACTCCAACTAAGATATACAAGGACTTGTTACTGGAATATACTCTTATTTCAGAAAGTTTAGAAGTCTTCTAACTTCAAATGCAACTTGAAAAATGACATCACCACTCTGGGAAGCAATTTGGCAACATAGAAAAATCAAAGATACGAATACAGAAGGATGGAGGGATTCTTCAATTGTGTGTGGACTCCAAAGGTTTAGCACCACTTCTTCAACTGCACTCTATGACACTGTTCAGATTCTTTTTGGATTCATGTGGGATGGGCAAATTATAGCATTGTCTTAGGTGACAATAATTATAACATTGTCTTAGGTGTCTCTGTCCTGATCTTAGCAGAGATGGATACACTCACAATCTGGATGTCCAGGTGTTCTATGCATTCCACTGAACATCTCCTGTGCCCATTGCATCAACATGATAAAATTGTAGACAATGACTACGATACTGGGGGCCTTGGCAGACCCCTTGGCTCCAGAGGGTGTGAAGACTCAGGGATGCACTTTGCAGAATTTATTGGTATTCATTGCTCACAGGCCTACAAAGCATCCTTTCTGGGTTGAACAACATATTGCTGTGTCTGTTCCAAGGAGGGAACACAACATCTACTGGGCTTCTTTGTGCTTCAGAGAAAACACACTGTGCACTCAGGGATATTACTCTAGCACCCAGGACCATGTGACATGTCTAGCTGCTGGCTATGAGCAGGGAAATGACAGAAAAGGGCTCCACAGTCATGTAGCACTTGATGCAATCCACTCCGGTGGTTGAGCTAAACACCTCTGTGGACTGTAGTGTAAGGGATGTCAGTGGGAACGAAGATGCCACATGAAACTTATGAAAATCCCCTTAGGAGAATCGCAAGACAAGCACTGGGCTTCTGAGGTCCAAGCAATGTATTACACTTTTTAAAGAAGCAGCTCTTGTTAGGCCCTGATAGATATGGAGCAATATACCCCCAGAAACAAGGGGCCATGTTTATGGACATTCCCATGATGAGCATATTCTGTTAGAATTGCAGAATCTTCATGGCAGAAGGACCCAGCAATACTCCTTTCTCTAAAACAAGAAAAAGACTTATCTGGGCCTCATCTTAGCAGGACAGAGGCACTGAATGAGTGGCAGGAGCAGAAGCCCTTGACCCTCATGAGACCCAGTGGCTTTGTATCAGCCTCCGTCCCCAGCTTCTTCACATAACCCTATCAGGGTGTATAGTGGGTGTCCCATGGAACTGCAAGGGGCAGCTATCATCAGGGCACTGTGAGTTCCTTGTGTCCATAGGCCAGCAGAACTTCAAAGAAGGTACTTGACCTTGAGCGACAAGAACAGGCAAGGCTGCTTCTACCAATGAGAGGAGGGAGAAGTATGTATGGGGTCCAGGTAAGACATCTCTTTTAGTGCCTTGTTGCATTTTAACAGAATAGTGCCACTGTAACTCGGACCTGACCATGCTCAGACCCTTCAGGAATGCAGGCTCACCTCTTGCCACAAGGCATGTTACTGAGATGGCACTTAAGGTGAGGGATAGTTGGAATGCAGAGTGGAAGAGGAAGCCCTGAGATTTATAAGAATATGGGATGCCCTTGGTTCACTAGTCTCAGAAGAACAGACTCATGAAAGCCACAGAGGGGTTGCTTCTTGGGCAGGTATGCCTGGCAGATCTGTGTGGCCTGGAAGCGCTGGGCTCTGATTGGCTGCTTGGCCACTGTCTTCTCTGTTCCACTCCATGTTTACAGAAACCATACTTCCTGAACCTGCTCCCAGACTATGCCAAGAAAGGCCCTGTGTTAAGGCAGGCCTTCCCACTTGCTAGGAGTCACTGAGCAGGGACTGTGGCTTGACCACACTGCCATATAGTCCCCTGCCCTGCCTCCTGCCCTTTTCTAGGTATCAGTCCTGCACTCCTTCCTGAAGACTCGCTGCATTCTCTCTGGTACCCCTGCAATCCCTTTTATCCTCCATTGGTATTTCTCCCCCTAAATCTTTTATAGTTCTAAGGCATTCTCTCTTGGTTGTTACTTCTGGGGAAAATCTGTACTAACACATCTTCTTGCACTTGCCAGGCTCACTCTGACATTTAAGTGAAGTAATAAAACCCATGTAGAGTTTATACTCAATTCATCAGGAACTATACAGAGGGGAGTGGATATATATGCATGGTGGTCAGAAAGAGTAGTACTCCCCAACATTTAAAAAGCAGTTATTCTGGGCTAGCATTAAACACTCTGCATAACCATTTCACTTAATGCTCACATTCTGCCTTAGGAAGAAGTGATCATAATAACATCCTCCATCTGAAAGCCATACTAGGTCAGGCATGGTTTAGACAACTTTCTCAATGTCACACAGCTAATAAAACTAGAGGTAAGAACAAACTCTTCTTGCTATTGTCTTACAGATTACTATTAAAAATTAAATCTCATTTCATCCCCAACCCAATGGTTGGCACTTGAACTTTTAATAATAACTGTGAGTATTTTATTTGGCTTTGCCTGGCTTCAGCAATTATTTCATTTCTTTTCTGAGCCAAAGAGTTCTGACCTCTTTGATGACTATCCATGTCATGTGACCCATCACACATGACTCTCATGGCATCTCAACACATGGACCAACCCTGAAGCTTATTACTGTATAAATACTGCATGTACCCGATGGCTGTTACTTTCATTCACGTCATGGCAAAGATACAATGGCTACTCTTTTTCTTCTCGGAGACTGAGCACACAGCAGTTGGCAACACAATCAGATCTTCATTCAATTATGTCTCCCCTGAGATTCACATTCTTGAGTTGCTGCCTGTCCCCAAGGATGGCCCTGGAGATCCTCCAGTGCAGCATCTGGAAAACAAGGTCGTCAGGGGATTGGTGTCAGCCCGTTCACCCTTCACTCACCGCGGTCATTCTGACAGCCTGGGTCATATCCTTGGTTTGCTCTTTGTTAGCTCTGGACCAGGGCCAGCACTGCTGGCTTGGGGAGGGGCTGCAGCTACATTCTGACCATTCTCTGCAGGTTTCTGGTTGCCCAGAAACCTCTTTTTAAACTTCTCAGGAGGTTTAATCCTCTTAGGAGGTCCAGACTGAGGTCAGAATGAGGGAAGAGGTGTGATCATCTCCACATCTAACCCCAGAGTCCATGTAGCCTGAGCATCATTAACCGCAGGTGGCAACTGGGTGGATCAGGGGGAAAAATGCATTGGGGTAGGGTGGGGAGAGCAGTCCAGTCTCCCTTGCCTGATTCCGCATTGAAATAACAACAGTGGCAGGGATGTCGGAGGAGAACTCATGTTTGCTTTCCTCACTTGACAATGCAAGCATACTAGGAAACCAGACAGCACAGAAAGAGCATCCATTGAAGACCTTCTACATGCCTGTGTGCCTGTTTCCTTCCCTGACATATCAGTCAACAGGTCTAATATGGAATATATATCTTACTTTTTTCCTGTTTAAAAATTTAACTACAGCTGGGCGCTGTGGAGCATGCCTGTAATACCAGAGGCTTGGGAGGCTGAAGCAGGAGGAGTGCAAGTTCAAAGCCAGCTTCAGCAAAGGTGAGGCTCTAAGCAATTGAGTGAGACCCTATCTCTAAATAAATTACAAAATAGGGTTGGGGATGTGTGTGGCTCACTGGCCGAGCGAGAGCCCCTGAGTTCAATCCCCAGGACCAAAAAAAAAAAAAAAGTAACTGCAAATCTTTCCATACTAAGTCACAGGACATTTCATCTCTCTGCCAGCAGTATTCAAGACCAGAGCAAGTCGGAACCTGCAGTTGGGTTTGACAAGTGCCTGACCACTGCCCCTCAGGGACTCAGAACGAGGGAAGAGGCGTGCTCATCTCCACATCGCTGCGTCATGGGCAGAATTCTCCAAGGCTGCCACTCCTAGCAGAAATGATGGGGGTGCTAAATGAGTTCCTCCGCTGGAAGAGCGGATTCCTACTGAGAAGCCGCCCCCTCCCCTCCACCACTTCTTTTCCCTGCACGGACACCTGGGTGCCAGAGGATGCGCTCACATTCTCCTCCTTCCTGGTGGGTTCTCTCCACCTGCTCCCAGGGTCGGGGGCGGGGCCTGGGCCGCTGTGAAGAATCAGCCAGGAGAAGGGCGGATTCCGGAGACAGAGCAGGAAAAGAGGCGCAGGAGCGGGCTGTTGGCACCCTGTTGGTTGATGGGGATGGAGCGGGTGGGGATCAGGCGGGATCCAGCAGGAGCTGGCGGGAGAGGGAAGAGGGCTGGAGTCCCGCACAGGTGGGCTGGGGCGCGGCGGCCCCCGCAGGTTCCACTGGGGCGCTCAGGGAAAGTTATGCAAGTCCTGCAGTGATTTGCAGCTCATCCCCAGGCGGCGCCTAGGGAAGACCGGCGCGGGGACAGCGCGGACTCCTGGGAAGCAGTGACCTGGGCAGGCTGTGGGGCGGGTCCAGCGCAGCTCTCCGGAGCGTGGGCGGGAGGTGTCCTGTGCAGGGTCCCAGCTCCGCTGCGCGCTGCAGGGTTAAGGGAACGCAGGAGCGGCTGGGTGGCGGGGGAAGGCTGGGTGGCGTTTGGAAGTCTCCTGGGACCTCCAGCTGGAAGGGACCGGAAGGGACCTGCTGTGGATTTGTCTGGACTGCCAGAGAGGGCGCTGGTGGCACCTGAGAGCCTCACTTCCCTTGGTTGAGCTGCTTCTGTAAGGAATTCTTAGGTGCATGGGGCAAGCTCAGCTGGTCCAAGGTCTCCAGAGGGTCACTGGAGCTCATGAAAAGTTGTGGCTATGAAAAGTTCAGCGGATGGTCTCCAGGGAACGGGATCCAGGGTCGCACTTGCTACCCTCCAATCAACAAAATTGTGATACTAGGAATAAGAAGAGCCTGGCTCCTGGCTCATCTTCCCTTCAGCCCTAGGTGCTCCAGCTCAGTCACCCTTCTGTGAGGAAGATGAAGTCAATCTTTGCACTCCATCCCTACAACCATGCTCCATTTTGGGCTGGCGATGCAGGTCAAAGGAGCTCAGTGTAGGCCTAGTACAGCTGCCTTGACTGCACTCTGGGTTTTCCCCGCCAGCAGCTGAGCTGGATTCCAGATGGGCTTTAGGTTGTAGATGGAGATTGCAGGGCTCAGTGGTGCTGTGGTCTGCCGAAGGAGGTGCCAGTCTGGTTAACAGAACCATCTTTCCCAGGCCCTGGTCCTGCAGGCCTTTCATGTCATCCATGGGAATGTACAGGTTCTTGGTGTGTAGAGAATTCTAAGGGTAAACCTAGTACAGTGACTGGAGCTTTCTCTTGGAGTAGTATTACTGGCACAGTATCAGGCTGTCTTTAGTAAGTGCAGGTGCACCTAGGGTGGTTCCCTGGGCTCAGTGACCACAAGGCCACAGGAGGAGTACAGAAGCATCTGTACTTTTACTTCAACCTCTGAAGTTGAAGTAAAAGAACAGAGTAAAAGAACCTAGACACAGGTGTTGTATGCTTCTGCTTACGTGATATTACAGGAAAAATTCTAATTTGGATGGGCAGAAAACAAGTGAGCATATGCCTGAGACAAGGGTTTGTGTATGTGCTGACTGAAAGAGGAAATTAGTGGATTTGGGAGATGATAGTCATGTTCAAAATCTTAATTTTGATGGTAGATTTGCAGTATAGATGTATATATTTTTCTAAATGCATGAAGCCACACATTTAAATGGATATAATATACTGCATAAAAATTATTTCCATAAATTTTATTTTTAAAAAAAGTTCCATGAATTTGATAAGCTAAATATATAAAATTCATACATCCATCCCAAATATCTCCACTCATCATACAAAGCACTTCCACCACAGTCTAATCCAACTATCAACTTCTGCCTAGAGAGCAGGAACTAGCTACCGTGTACCCACTCCATGGCCCTTTATGCCTGACCTCTCATGGCAGCTAAAATGAACCCCTAAAATCTGTGTATCTAGTCATGTTACTTCTAGGCTTAAAAATCTCCAACATTTCCTCTAGGTTAGAACAAAAATTGTTTTTATCTTGATATATCAAAGATTATGCTCAGCAGTGAATCACAGGAAAGTCCCAAGTACAGCTTTAAAGAGCAAAAGTTTGTGGTAGACTAGTATTACCAAACTAATACCACATCTAGTATTAGACCTCCAGATCTTCCTGTTACTGGACTGTGCAAAAAAAATCCACTCCTAAGTCAGCTCATGGTCTAAGACAGACACTGGAGCTCAAACCATTATACCCACATACCAGCTACTGTGAAATAAGAAGCCCTACCACTGCTATTAGGAACACATTAAGGAAAACTTTAAGCACTCATATTTGTTATATATCATAAGTTACTCACAAGGCACACCTAACTGAAGGAAAACAAAAGCAAGAAAATATGGCCATTATTTAGCAGAGCTGAAAAATCTATCTCTATTCCTGAGGAAGAAAGGGAAGGATGGCTATTGGGAGCAGTCACAAATGATCCATCAGGGTCCACAAGGGGTCTCTGTTCCTCCCTTATCCCATCTCTCCAACTCTCCACCTTCCTCTTTCTGCCACCTGACCAACTAACTATCCTCCACCATGCCAAGCTGGTCATAGCTTAACTTGTCTTCTCCTGGCTGCCTGGAAGCCTCCTCCCAAGTTCTTCGCTCCCTTCCTTATGTCTCTGCTCCAAGTCAGCCTTCAGGACCATCCCTCTAAAAATTTTTCCATCTACCATTCCCTCATCTGGTTCATTCTGTCTGCTTCTGGACATCAGTTTTGCTTTTTCAAATTACCATAAAAGAAGAAAAATGTCCCACTTATGCAAATTTAAAGTTCTAGAGGGAAATGAGGCCCTGCTTTTAAGTAGCAGAGAGCATGTTTGTGAAAATCTGGGTCTCCCTCTTCTGTCTGAAAACATTCAATCTCAAGGACAGTGGGTTCCCAGGGGATTCCAAACTGTGTCTAATGCTTTTAGAAAGCAGAAGCAACTTTTCAATTTCACTTGGCAATTTCCTTCCCTGCCAGCTTATAGCTGGGCTTCAACTATTTTAGTCAGGAAGGAGGGCAGAAGTGGCTCTCCACCCAGAAGCCCTGAAAGGAGAGATAAGGCAGGAAATGGCACCCTAGGCCAGAAACTCAGCCCTTTTATAAAGCTGTGCAGAATTTTGTTATTGGGAGTACATTTATCACCATTTGTTTATCCTGTCACATGCTGACACTCATTTGGCTAGTTTCCAGGTTTGGGTTATTATGAGCAAAGCTGCTACAAAATATTCATGTGCTAAGTTTTGCATTTTTCATCTCTACTTGGTAAGCCCCCAGCACTGCTATTGGACCACCTGGTAACTAGTGAGTTAAGCTGATAGGAAGTTGCCAAAGTGTCTTCATGTGATTGTGCCATTTTACCTTCCGTACAAGGATGCATGGGAGTTTCCAGGTGCTGGCCCTCTTTGCCAACCCTGTGTTATCAGTCTTTTAAATTCTATTCTTCATTCACAGAACCCTGGTTGTGTTCCTCTGCTATTGTAAAGCACTTAGAGACAAAAGCAAAACCTCCCAGCAGCCCCTGTGGACACGTGACTGGTGGGTCCAATGAGGTGTGGGCGGAAGTTAGTGGGTGGGACTTCCCGAAACTCTTCCCCAGAGATCGCTTCTGCTGGCCAAGATGGCGCCCTGAGAATGTGGGAGGGCGCCCTTCCCAGGCCTCGGGTGCACACAGCCAGGCTGCACCTGCTCCATGGCCTCCTTGGCTTCTCTCATGATGCTAGAGATGGCTCAGCAGGTCTTCATTCTTTGCTTCCTCCTCTAGGGTGGGGGAGTGAGGCATTTGGGGCCCAGACCAGCCTGGCCCAAACCAGAACCACGCTCAGGTTTGTGTGGGCGCTGGGGGTCTCAGCCACAGGGGTGCCAGGCCTGAATGGGACACGCATTCACCCTCCTCTCGCAGTTTTCCCACAGCGGGAAGAGGGCTGGGGGTTTGAAGGGAGAGGAGGCCCTGGGCCTTAGCTACCCAGAGAGCAAACCCTGTGACCCTGCAGGAAGGACCCTGTAAGGACACTACGGTTGACATTTAGGCAGCACCTCAAACTCATTTGTAACTTAGTAACTTTTCTCAGGGTTAATTATCTGTGGCTCTTTCAGAGTTGTTACTGGCAATTCCTAGAGGACTATGACATTTCAAAGCCAATGGGGGTCAGAATTTATATTGCTCATTTGTAAACTGTTTGTTAAATTAAATCAATTTTCAGGGATCCCATTAATTATTGTCGTCTTTTTAATTTTTTTCTTTACCTCCACTGTAGTGTTTGAACACCAAGAGTTTACTATCAGCATAAACACTTTTTCCCCCAAGACCTTATCAGCCTGGGAGCTGCCATATAATAATTGTAGAAACCTTCTGTCTTCAAAAGAAAATTCCTAGGAATCAAGTTAGTCTTTACTTGCAAAGCCAAGAGTTTCCCAATATGACATGATGGTTATAGGCCTTTATCATGTAAAAAATTGTGTCTTGGGACCTATGATAATCTCAAAATATTTAGGATGAACCTTTAAGTTACTTGCAAATGAAAACCAAAAGCCTACATCAGGAGTGAAGAACTCCACTTAAGTTGACCTTAATTACAGTTTCTATTTTATATTAAGGTAGAAATAGATTCCCACAGCATGAAGGGAAAATCACCATACTGACCTTTTTATGAGTGGCAAACTACCCCTTAATCCTTAAGGTTTAATGCAAGTGTGATTTCATATATGAAGTATTCCTTAAAATTTCTCTAGGGCATTAATTGATCCAGCTCACTGTCTTCATAACACTTTGGAATTTATTCATTATAACACTTAATTGTACAGCATTTTCATCATGTTTAAGAACTGTTTCTAAGGAAATTCTTGGTCCTGTCTGCAGGGACTTCTGATCCTACCTTTCTGTTGAGGTTGAAGAGGTTGTTTCTTAAGCTGAGAATCTTATCTGTCTTCTCTAGTTTCCTAATTGAGATATGTTGGTAGTTAAACTACAGACCTGGAATACATATACACACCATTGAGAGGTTAGGCCATTGATGATTTGTAAACCCTATTTATAATTTCAATTTAATACAAATCTAGAAGGGCGTGGCTTTCCTCTGAATATTCAAGAATCCTGTCTGTGAATTGAAGGACTAACTCTTTCTTTGAGATAGTCTTCAAGCTGAGTAATAACAAAGACTAAGATTTCTTCAGAACCTTGTTTTCTTTCCCACTTATTTCTTACACTTTATACGTCTTGGTCAGAGTTACAAAGGCATCAGTTACTTCCTGGAAAATCAGACTTATTTTCATCTCACCTCTTTCTTCATTGTTATATCAGGCTAAAAGTCTGTCAATTCAGATGTTCTGGGTTGACCTCTCCCCATTTGTCACATCTCAACTTGTGTCCTGGACAGTCTTCTCTGACCATTCTAAGATATCTCTACCCCAGTTTTTTCCTGCCCCATTATCCAGTCAATCTGAAATAACCTTAGTTTTATTTTCATAAATTTATGTATGTATCTATGCCCTGAGTTCCTCTACTAGACCATCAGTATCATGAGCTCAAAGAAGGC